AAACCACGCAGGATGCTGTGGATCAGGATCAGGCAACTTGGGGGGGGGGGGGGGAATAGGGGAGTTGGGGGGGGGGGGGGGTAACCATGGCACTAGGAGCTGGGATGGCTATGCTCATTTCAACTTTGAGCAAGGGTTATGTGGACACCTTATTGGTCCCACCCCAGGGGCATATTTTAGAGACTCAGAGAGCAGCCTAGAGACAGAAATGGGTGAAAAATCCAAAGAGAATCTAAAAAGAAATGAGGCAGCCAAGGCCAAACTGAAGGGGAGATTCAGAAGGATGCAGGGTTAAAATGTGACACGACACATTTTATAATGGAAATGCCAAGGCAAGTTAGGGGTGGGGGGAGTGCATTTATTCTGAACGGACACAACTTGACATGTAAACAAGAAGAAGAATATATTTTTATGCCCCTATAGATTTAAAAAATATATATATTAAAAAACTGTCTTAACCCAAATGGCATGATACTGGCATAAAAACAGAAACTCAGACCAGTGAAGCAGAATAGAGAACCCAGAAATCACCCCACAGACTTACAGCCAATTGAAATTTGACAAAGGCAACAAAAACACACACTGGGGAAAAGACTGCCTCTTCAATAAGTGGTGCTGGGAAAACCGGACATCCACATGCAGAAGAATGAAACTAGACATGCACCTCTCATCATATAGCAAAGTCAACTCAAAATAGATTGAAGACTTAATTATAAGACCTGAAACTGTACAACGACTAAGGGAAAATATAGAGGAAACACTTCAGGAACTAGGTTTGGGCACAGACTTTATGAACAAGAGCCCCAAAGCACAAACAACAAAAGAAAAAATAAACAAATGGGACTATATCAAACTAAAAACCTTCTGCACAACAAAGGAAATAATCAACAGAGTGAAACGACAACCTACAGAGTGGGAGGAAATATTTGCAAACTATACATCTGACAAGGGATTAATATCCAGAATATACAAGGAACTCAAGAAATTACCCAGTAAAAAACAAATAACCCAATTAAAAAATGGGCAAGGGAGCTAAATAGACATTTTTCTAAGGAAGACATACAAATGGCCAACAGGTACATGAAAAAATGCTCAACATCACTAATCATCAGGGAAATGCAAATTAAAACCACATTGAGATATCACCTCACCCCAGTTAGACTGGCTATAATCAAAAAGATGGAGAATTACAAACTCTGGCATGGACGTAAAGAGAAGGGAACGCTCCTACACTGTTGGTGGGACTGTAAATTAGAACGACCACTATGGAGAATAGTATGGAGGTTTCTCAAACAACTTCAGATAGATCTACCTTATGATCCAGCAATCCCACTTCTGGGTATATACTCAAAGGAATGGAAATCATCATGTTGAAGCGATACCTGCACTCCCATGTTCACTGCAGCTCTATTTACAACAGCCAAGATATGGAACCAACCTAAATGTCCTTCAGTGGACAAGTGAATGAGGAAAATGTAGTATATATACACCAGGGAATACTACTCTGCCATAAAAAAGAATGAAATTCTGCCATTCACAATAACATGGATGAGCCTGGAGAAATTTATGTTGAGTGAAATAAGCCAAGCACACAGGGAAAAATACCGTATGTGCTCACTCGTAAGTGGGAGCTAAGAGAGAAAGAAGGAAGAAAGACCACAGTGGTGCATTGGATGTGCAGAGGAAGAGCACATACCTAGGGTTGCAGAGTGGGATGGGGGAAGGAGGCAGAGGAAGGGAGGCTGGGGATTAACTGAGTGGGGGACATGGGGAATAACTGCAATTTGTGTAACAGGCAGGTGATAGTATTGATCTGGCCATCACAACTTGGTTACAAGTGGTGACAGTCAGCTTTGTAGCCCACGAATATTCATAACCAATAATACGTAAATAAATAAATAAAAATAAAACACAGGAAAAGAATAAAAATTAAAAATTCTCTCATAGTAAAATCTTTTTCCCTTTGTTGAACAGTTCTATGAATTTTAACATATATATAGATCTGTGTAACCATCAAAATCAAGATATAGAACAATTCCATCACATCCAAAAATTCCCTTGTGCTATCCCTTTATGCTCATACTCTTTCTCTACCCCAACCCCTGTCAACCACTGATTTGTTTCCCATCATTACATTTTTGACTTCCAAAATGTAACATAAATGAGATTACACAGTATGTAACCTTTTGGGACTGGCTTCTTTCACTCAACATGCCTTTGAAATTCACCCAAGTTGTTGTGTGCATCAATAGTTCATCCCTTATCCATTGCGTGAATGTATTACAGTCTATCCATTCAGCTGCTGAGGAACATTTGGGTTGTTTCTAGCTTTTAATAATTATGTATAAATCTGCTGTAAATATTCATGTTAGGGTTTTATATGAACTTAGTTTTCATTTTTCTAGGATAAATACTCAGGAGTGGTATTGTTTTCCAGAATGACTGTACTATTTTGCATTCCTGCTAGCAATTTCAGCAATATCTAAGAGTTTCAGTTGCTCCACATTCCTGTCAGCACTTGGTATTGTCAATATATATATATTTTTTAAAGATGACCGGTAAGGGGATCTTAACCCTTGACTTGGTGTTGTCAGCACCACGCTCAGCCAGTGAGCAAACCGGCCATCCCTATATAGGATCTGAACCCGTGGCCTTGGTGTTATCAGCACCACACTCTCCCAAGTGAGCCACGGGCCGGCCCTGTCAATATTTTTAATTTTAGTCATTCTAATAGGTCTATAGTGGCATCGCATGACATACAGATTTAATCTGCACTTCTGTAATGCTTATTTGCCATCCTTATATCCTTTTTAGTGTCTAGTCAATCTTTTGTCCATTTTTAAAAACTGTGTTGCTTGTTTTATATTTGTTGACTTTAAAGAGTTCTTTATATATTCTGGATACAACTCTTTTGTTGGATATCTGATTTGCAAACATTTTCTCCTAGTTTGTACCTTGTTTTTTAATTATGTTAACTGTCTTTTGCAGAAAAAAAAGTTTTAATTTTGGTTCAATATATATCAATTTTTCTTTCATGAATCTTGCTTTTGGTATCATATCTAAGAACTCTTTGCCTACCCTCAAGTTCTAAATATTTCTGATGTTTTCTTCTAAAACTTCTTGAGCTTTTATAGTTTCATGTTTTACATGTAGATCTACAACCCATTTTAAATTTTCAATATAAAGTATGATGTTTAGGTTGAAGTTTTTTGTTTTTGTTCTGCATATAAATGTACCATCATTCCAGAACTATTTGTTGAAAAGGCTATCCTTTCTCCATTAAATTTCTTTAGCACATCTGTCAAAAATAAAAAGGCCATTATGTGTTTAAGTTATTTCTGAACTCTTTATTATATTCCATTCATCTAGGTATCTATCCTTCAATCAGAACCACAATGTTTTGATTACTGCAGCTTTATTTTCATCTTAAATTTGAGTAATGTGATCCCTCCCACTTTATTTTTCTTTTTCAAATTGTTTTAGCTATGCTAGTTCCTTTTTCTTTTCATATAAATTTTAAAATCAACTTATCTTATCCATATAAATTCCTATTGAGATTTTGATTAGTGTTACATTAAATCCATAAATCAATTTAAGGAGAACTGACTTCTTTACTATGTTGAGCCTTCCAATCCATGGACACAGTATGTCTTCCCATTTATGTCGTCTTTGATTTCCTTCATGAGATTGAGATGAACTGTAGTTTTTTTTGGACCAACTGTTTGCAAGAAGATCTCTTATTGGGGGATGGGCCAACAGTGTGTCTTAAGCTAGCTGGTTTTCATAACATGAAAGCTCTCTTCAGCCACTACAAGGACATCTTACTTCGTACAAACATGGCTTGTCTTTGTGATTCTTTGTGTGCCCTCTCTCCTAATTGAATCTAACTGCATCCAGGTGGGACTTCTGCAGTCACTCGACTTTGTTTGCACACCCTCTTTTGTAGAAAGGGCACTACAAGGACATCTTACTTCGTACAAACATGGCTTGTCTTTGTGATTCTTTGTGTGCCCTCTCTCCTAATTGAATCTAACTGCATCCAGGTGGGACTTCTGCAGTCACTCGACTTTGTTTGCACACCCTCTTTTGTAGAAAGGGCTGTAAGTCCCACTCCCATGTGTATTTTTGTTGGTGCTCTATGATATCTGCTATTGTTGCCTCTTTCCTCTACTTACTCCCATGTGACTCTATAACACAGCTACCTTTAAAAATATACTGGAGTGTGTTTCCAAGTTCCACTGAAAATAAAGTTAGAGTTTTTGTTTTCTGTTTCCCTTTGTTGATGCTCAATGATTTCCAGGAAAAGAAGGGGAGAATGTTGAGTTTTTGAAGCCATATTTGTACTGGTACATTTCTTTTTGGTAAAGGAGATAAGAAAATTCCTGGGATGAGGTGAAGGTTGCTGGTAAATATAGAAGGCACACTCTAGTAATGAAGAGGATGGCAGTGAAAAGGAGACAAGGGTCAAAAACTAAGAGGACAAGGAACTGATCTGTTCTCAGTTCATCCTTTGTTATGGGAGTTCTAGTAGGTAATGATAGACAGCTTAGATAGGATTGTGGTGAGCCCTGTGGTGAAGCATGAGTTATTACCAGCAGTCAAATGTGGATCTCCTTCCAGAATCCCATGGGAAGAGCTCTCCAGGGACTGAAATGGAGAGGCAATGGAACCACTGATTTAGATGTACTCATCTCTGGGCACCAGCAGTGTTACATAATCTGAGGTAGTTTCCCCTCCAATTAATAACATGATGATAATTTAATTCCCTTTATTTAGGATGGTCAGGACAAAATAATATGATTTATAGATTTACTATTTACATAACATAAAAAGCCAATTTTCAAAACTTGCATAAAAAGTAAAAATGCTTAATTCTAAAGTAGTATTTGATTGAACACTGTTTGGTGACCCAGAAAAAAATATTTCCACATCCCAAAGTTTCTTTGAGTCATACTTAATGCATCAAAAAGATTCTGCTTCTTTGACCTTTCTTGGGAGCTTATATCCTTTTTACTCAAGCCCAGGTTTCTTAGGTGGATCAAGTGGGATGAGCACAAATTTTGTGGGAGGCAGAGATGTCCAAGTCTTCAAGTTTAAACAGGAAGTTTGCTCACCTTATTGTGAACCCAGAGGGCAGGAGGGTGGTTTGCATGTTTCACTGCCAATTCTATCATTCTTTCTTGTTCTAGCAGTCTGGGACTAGAACATATTGAAAACCCACCAACCACAGAGACTCCCGGGATAAAGAAATCAATCCTAAAAGGAAAGGTAAATAAATAATTACTGTTGAAGCAATTTTAAAAACTGGCAACAAGATAAACAAAAATGACAACCTTCAGCCAAGACCAAGGAAAAAGAAAAGATAAATTACTAAAATTAAGAATAAAAGAGAGGACATCATCACCAATCTTACAAAAATAAAAAGGATTATAAAGGAATTTAATGAACAACTGTATGCCAAAAAATTAGTTAACTTAGATGAAATGTATACATTCTTAGAAAGACAGAAACTATCAAATATGACTCAAGAATAAGAAAATTGAACAGACCAATAACAAGTCAAAGGATTATATTAGTAATTTTAAAACTTTCTGGGGCTGGCCTGGTGGCACACTGCTACAGTGCGCCGGTTGGGAGTGCGGCAGCGCTCCCGCCGAGGGTTCGGATCCCACATACAGACCGGCCGCTCACTGGCTGAGCGAGGTGCGGGCGCGACACCGAGGGTTGCGATCCCGTTGCCGGTCCCGGTCCGGTCCGGGCGCGACACTGAGGGTTGCGATCCGTTTCCGGTCACAAAAAAAGACAAAAAGGAAAAAAAAAAAAACTTCCCACAAAGAAAAGCTCAGGTAGAGATGGCAACACTGGCAAATTCTACCAAACATTTAAAGAATACTAATCCTTCACAAACTCTTCCAAAAACAAAAGAGAAGAAAACACTTCTCAACTCATTCTGTGAGGCCAGTATTACCCTGATACCAAAACCAAGAAATGACATTGCAAAAAAAGAAAATTATAGATCAATATCCCTTCTGAATACAGACACAAAAATCCCAGGAATATAAAGTTGGTTTAACATCTGAAAATCAATGTAATACACCACTTAGTAGAAAAAAAGACAAAACCCACATGATCATCTCAATAGATGCTAAAAAGGCATTTGACAAAATCTTACACCCTTTCATAATAAAATACTTAACAAACTAGGAATAAATTCCCATTCGTCAACCTGATAAAAGGCATCGACAAAAGACCCACACCAAACATCATACTTAATGATGAAAGGCTGAAAGCTTCCCCCTTCAGAACGGGAACAAGAGAAAGATGTCTACTTCCACTACTTCTACTCAACACTGTACTAGAGGTTCTAGCCAAGGTAAGTAAGCAAGAAAATGAAATAAAAGGCATCCAGACTGGAAAGGAAGAAGTTGAAAATGGCATGATCTTGTATACAAAAAAATCAAAAAGAATTCACTAAAAAGATATCAGAATAAAGAAGTTCAAATATAAGACTGCAGGATATAAGATCAATATACAAAAAAAATCAACTGTATTTCTATATACTAGCAACGAACAATCCAAATGCAAAGTTTAGAAAACAATTCCATTTATAATAACTTAAAAAGAATTAAAATAATAGGGAATAAATTTGACAAAAGAAGTATAACATGTACTTGTACACTGAAAACTACAAAACATTACTGAAAAAAATTAAAGATCTAAAAAAATGGAAAGATATCCCATATTCATGAATTGGAAGACTAATATTGTCTTTAAGATTGCAATACTTCCCCAAGTGATCTATAGATTCAATGCAATATCTACCAAAACCCCAGCTGGTTTCTTTGTAGAAATTGACAAGTTAATCATAAAATTCATATAGTAATTTGAGAAACCCAGAATTATCAAAACAATCTTGAAAAAGAAGAATAAATTTGGAGGATTCATACCTTCTGATTTCAAAAGTTACTACAAAGCTATAGTAATTGGCGTAACATGTAGATCATGGCAGACATGTAGATCAGTGGGAAAGAATTGAGAATCCAGAAATAACCCCCTAAATTTATGGTCAGTTGATTTTTTGACAAGGGTGCCAGGCAATTCAATGGCAAAAGAAGACTCTATTCAACAAATTGCACTGAGACAAGTGGATATGCACATTGAAAAGAATGAAATTGGATCCCTACCTCACACCATATACAAAATTAAGTCAAAATGCAGCATAGGTTTAAAATGTAAGAGCTAAAATCATAAACTCTTAGAAGAAAACACAGGAGTAAATCTTCATGGCAATGGTTTCTTAGATATGACACCAAACCACAAGGGTCAAAGAAAAAAGAAAAACCAGACCTCATCAAAATTAAGAACTTTGTGCTACAAAAGATATCATCAAGAAAGTTAAAAGACAACCCACAGAATGAGAGCAAATATTTCTAAATAATATATCTATTAAGGGACCTGTATTCAGATTATATAAGAACTCTTACAATTCAGTAATAAAAAGACAGCCCAAATAAACAATGGGCAAAGGATTTTAATGAACATTTCTTCAAAGATATATAAATGGCTAATAAGCACATGAAAAGATGCTCAGCGTCATTAGTCATTAGAGAAATGTAAAGCAAAACCACATTGAGCTACCTCTTCACACCCACTAAAAGGGCTATAATCAAAAAGCCTAACAACAGCGTTAGTGAGGATCCGGGGAAATTGGAACCCTTATACATTGCTTGTGGGAATGTAAAATGAACCCTGAAATCATGTTAAGTGAAAGAAGCCAGTCACAAAAGACCACATACTATATGATTCTGCTGATATGAAATGTCCAGAATAGGCAAATATTATTGTGTGAATAAGTGTTTATCTGTAGTCTTTTAAATTTTTATCCTGTCTGAAATGAAAGAAAGTATTCATGGGAAAGAGTCAACTGAAAATAGGCAAAAGTAGGCTAGGGACCTTCCCTTGGATAATAGACAAATCCACAGAGATAGGAAGTGGTCCTTTAAGGGGGCAGGAGGATAGGGAGTGAATGATGATCAGTACAGGGTTTCTTTTTGGGATGATGAAAATGTTCTAAAATTTGATTGTGCTGATGGCTGCACAACTCTAAATAAATATACTAAAAACCACTGAATTAGATACTCTAAACGTGTGAATTTTATGTGAATTTTATATCTCAAACGGTTTTTAAAAAGTGCGAAAAAAAAAGCAACAACTTAAATTTAACTAGGCTGATGTGTCCTTCTGAGTTTTGAAAGTCTTATGTTTCCTTCTATTCTTCTAACCACACTCCTAAAGTGCAGAACTCTTTGAGTTTCAAGCCTTCAATAATTCTATGCCACAGAAACAATATTTTGGTAGGAATTCTAGGAATCACAATACACCAGTCACATACCAAGGAGAGAAAAATTTATTAGAACCTGGGACCACAAAAAATTCTAATCCCCATGTCTAGGAAACAAACATCCAAACTAGGTGTTTCTCAGCCAACAAAGAGCAAAAAGTATCAATTTCCTCCAGCCGTTTTCCTACCTGTGGGCTTATATGAAAAGCACAAGAGATGTTCTCTACTGATTTGATCTATGACCTTAAGATATTCTCCTCTAATCTATGGCCTTAAATATCCGGTCATTTTTTATAGTCTTAAAAAAAGGGTTCTGGATTGGAAGTGCTCCAGGAAAGGTCCCTGGCCTACTTTTGCCTATTTTCACTTGACTCCTTCCCATGAATACTTTAACTTCTCTTTCATTTCAGATGAGATAAAAATTTAAAAGACTACAGTTAGCACTTATTCACACAATTGCTATATGCTATCCAAGAAAAGGTATACAGAATCTCCACTGTTTCCACGTTTAAAAAAGAATCAATGAGCTACTTTTGCAGCTTCATCTCCTGAACTATCACGCCCTCTGCTGCTCGATGCTAATTAAGACCTTTCTCTCCAGTGAGTGAAAGGGAACTTTATGTCTAGTGACTGGAAAGCTACCTTCAGAAAAAAGGACTCCATTAAAAGATACAACAGAATAATTCAAATGATATAAAAACCTCATCTGAATGGACTTAAGAAAATATGCACAATACATATTTCATAAAATGTTCATCCATGAAAAAATTAAGTTTTAAATACACACAAAAATGCCCTTTGCAGAATTAACACTCTTGGAGCCAGGTGTTTAGGCACCTACTCACTCCAGATGAGTGAGCAGATGCAGAACTGAGCAGAGCAGCCTAGGTATATAGTGAAGCAACATACCCACATCTGCCTTTGGCACACCATGCAGCCATGTACTGTCCACAGAGGTAACCCTAGCACCCAACACATAGTGGGCATGCAGACAATGGCCAAGTGACAAGGCTATCCTATGAGATCCCCAAACTCTGTTGTCCTCTGCTATAGTACTCAGAGTCCCTCACTCATTTAGTTGTGGTGCTTGCTGGAGGTACAAAGACGCACGTATGTCTTGGTTCCTGCCCTCAATAAACCCACTCTAAAGGGAGGACAATTAAATAAATACAATTAAACGGGCTATGATAAAATCTGCTTCAAGTAAGGGAGGCAGGGCAAAGGAAGTAGTTAATTGTACCAGGAGTGGAGGAATTCAGAAAGACTGCACAGAGAGATGCCACTTAAACTGAGTCTTAAAAGACACAGAGCGCTCACCAGATAAGCAATGGAGGAGGACACAATCTGAACGAACACACCAAGGTATGCAACACTTTCTGTGTGTGGACATGTGAGAGTCAGCGCTGCCGCACACGGTCACACAGGTTATACATACACTGTCCACAGTACAGTGGCCCCACTTGAAAGCGGGGGGAGAGTCCTATTCCCTAATCTTGCTGCTCTAATCTGCTGCTTCATAGTGTCCTCCTTCTCTCAGGAGGGCCCAAAGTTGCTTTCTAACACAAAAATTTGTTATCTGTTTAAGGGCAGAGACACACTAGGACCAAGAATTCCTTTTCTTTCTGCAAAAACACTTTGGCCTTGCTTCCCCTCTGGTGGCATCCTGGGGGCAGCCTAGTGTGGAATGAGAACTGACCGTGACATCAGTGGTGTCGTCATGGCGATGTGCACTCACCCACTCCCACCTGGCCTGTCTCTCTTCCAACCAACAGTTTCACTGCAGGGGAATGGACCAAGGAACTAAGAACTGGAATCTGTCCCCTCGGACTCACCAGCACAGGTGATCTACCTGGCTGGCTGAGTGAAATACTAGCAATAACAACACTTACTAGCAATAACAATAAATAAAAACCGAGCTAATAAAGTTAACATTAGGCACAGTGCTAAACACTTTATGTATCTTCAAACATAGTAATACTACTGCTTCCTCTTCAAAGATATGAGAGCTGAAGCTCATAGAAATAAGGAAACTGCCCATGTCACAGAGCTAGCAGGAAGAAAGCAAGCATGGGAACCGGCCAACCTCCTGAGCACCGGGTGATGTGGATCCTGACCACAGCAGCTCTGCCATCCCTAGAGGCAGGCAGTGAGTGCCATGGCAGAACATGAATCTGGAAACTCAGGGCAGTGCACACTGCATGAGGACTGCTGATGGCATGCCCCAGCCCAAAGAGGAAGTGCCAATCTTTCTGCTCACAGAGAGGAGGAATTCTGATAAAGTGAAGAGCACGTTTCACCAAGGAGCTAGTAGCTAAGCAAGTGGTGGGCCTACTGGTGAAAGCACCCCAAGAGATTTAGTAGCTCTGCTCACGTGAGAAATGTTTTTGAGGGGGTTTCATCTTTTGGCCTTTCTCTCTGGATTGAATTGCTAGAGCTCCTGGAACTGATTTCCTGATACAGGAACCAGTGCCCCTTGGAGGGCCCAGTAAGAACACAGTGCATGCAGCACAGGCCCTGAGGCCTCTCTGGTTTATGTTGAAGGTGTCTGTAGACTGTATCTGTGGCCAAAGCTACAGCTAGTCATAGAGAGCATTCATTTATTTATTTAGAGTTGGGCCTAGAACCTCATCCTCAGAGTTTTACAGGTGTCAGAGGAGGGCACTGGTCGAGAATTCAAAGATTTAACACAATGGCCCAATCTTTCACCCCAAAGCTAAGCCCAATGGCAATCCCCTCCTTCAACTCTAGCAGCTGTCCATCCTGATAATCCTAATTACACAAACTGCACAGCAGCCACTTCCTGACTTCTTTTCCCCCTAACCCTCACCTTCTTCTCCAAAGTGCCGCATAGAGGTTACTACCGAGCTGATGATCTAAGACAGCGTAGAGCACAAAGCCATACTAGCAACAGCGTGGAAGGGGTGGACACATCGCTAACCTAAGCAAGATGGCCATTCTGTAACCATGTGGTCGAACATCAAAAGGAACTCACAACCCATAGAGTCATAAAATAAGTCAATGGTAAGGGCACAATCTTTAAAATGGGGGAGAGTCCAGGTGCTAGGAATGAGTGCTGACCGACACCTGGAAGGGAAAGGGTCACCACTAACCAGCCAGTGATAACCACCCTCATCTGACCTCTGAAGCAGGAGTGTGTCAGACACATACTAAAACCTGCCCTAACGTCAGTGAAACGACCAAATCCATTCACTGGGATAGGACACATAACACTAATCCAAAATAATTTTATTTTGAGGATCACAATGGGACTCCATTTATATCACTAGGGAATGATGACATTTTCCTTATCAGGTAGCTGCAGTTTGAGAGTGCTAACACACTTGCAGGCACACCATGGTGGCAGCACTGGAACCAATGCACAGGCCTGTTCTAACCAGGAGACTGGGGACTACATCTTGGCAGAACTCAGAGGTAAAGGCACAAAGACAATGCTGTGCTCAGGACACAAACACTTCCATTGAAGGGAAATATGAAAAAACAAATCATTACAATTAAAGTTTTCACTTTTCAATGTAATAACCATTTTTGAAGGGTAAATATGTTGCCCACCCCCAAAACCAGCCAAAATGCATTTAATATGTATCACCAAACATGTGCAAAGATTGCAGTAAATTGCTTCACAAGCGCAAATTATTGCAATCAGCATCTTGTTTTCTAGTTCTAAATTCAAAGGCAAACTATTAACACAAGACTGCTAACTCTTGCTATTATCACACTTGCTATTATCACACATCCTCCTTCTAACAAAACCACATTTCCAGATGGACTGCCAAAATTAGTCAAGTGACTCCTAAGAAATACTATCAGACTGACATGCCAGAAATTCATTTGGAAATGAATGCTTTATTTAAATAAAGGACACACACACCCAAACACACCTTTCCTAAGGAAATACAAGTTGCTTTACTTAGAATTCAACTTGAATTGCAGCTCAGTGAGGACATTTCAAGGAATAGTGGGACAGCTGGGCTCTTACCCTGTCAGCATACTAATTAATCCGCAGAGTCAAATGGGACAGACTTATGATTTGTGTGTGTGGGCTGGGCCTGATTGGGGAATCCTGATAATAAATTCAGCAAAATATTTAAACTCAACCCAGACAAGGTATGAGTGATACAAGAATTCAGTCAAGAAGATGGTCTGCTGTGTAACGACATAAGCAGTTATTCTTTGTAGACTGTTTTGCTTACTCTGTATTGGACATAAAGAAAACTAATTTTTAAAGACATATGAATCTGCAGCAATACATAACTCAAGCAGATTAGATAACTGCAGTGCATTCTATTAGCAACTATTCCTGCAGAACGCAATTATCGGAGCTGTGGGTTCCATGGACCAGAACTAGCTGCTTTGTTTGAACGTGCAAAACTCAAGGCAGCAGTTCTCATATATGAGTGAAAGGACCATGGGCTCAAAACCCATGTGGGTTCGGAGGCCAGGAAAGGAATCAGATTCTCCACACCAAAAACGGTTCACTCTGAATGAAAATGACCTAAAATTCCTCTTCCTCGGGGGGAACGACTAGCCACTGAAGTCCTTTCCAGAAGAAAAAGTAATCCCTCCTATCTGATGGCATCTCTTGAACATACACACTTGGAAAAAAGAAAAGGCACTTACCACTGGCCAGCTTTAAAGGAAAACTCTTTATCGGTTACAAGCAGGCGGAGACTCTTCACTGACGGGGACTCATCAGCAGCTCCGCATACCTTAGCTGGCGACACGACCTAAAGCCAAAAGATGAACTGTGGCTGAGGTTAGTGCAAGCACAGCGTGAGGGACAAATGGTGGCTTTCTGTGAACTAAAGTTTTTTTTTTTTTTTTAATCTACAAAGATGTGGTTTATGAAATTTGTCATCACCAAGGGAACAAATTTTAATTAACTTCTTTTTGAGAGACTTGCTATCATACTAATTTAATTTTGTTCTGCACACAAAGTCATCTCTTAAATAACTGTACAACTGGTGTTTATCTGATGAGTATCTATCACATTGCATGCACCTGATAGGCAATCTGGGAAGAGCTCATGGAACTGGAGCCCTGTAACCCACACTGCCTGGCATCTAAATTTTCCATCAGTACTAGGCAAAGTGATGCCCACTGTTGCTCCTGAGTGTGTAAGAAGTCAAAGACAAGCTAATTTCAGAAATTAAAACTAAGCACTTAGAAACTTTTTAAGCAGTTTTGGAGCAACTGTGCATCGGTTGAATCTAATAATTAGGTTTGTACCTTTTTTTTTCAATTCATTTTTAATTATATTTTACAAAATATAAACAGTTCACAACCTTAAAACAATAACAAAAAGAACCCTTCCCTACAGATAGTTTGAAAAGCACTATCATACATGATGTGTCTGATTTCTGGAAAGTACTGAATAGTTCTGATTCAGGAACTATTCAGTTATGTGCCATCCATGCTCCAGTACCCCTCAAATTCAAAATGTCTCTAAATTCTTTCCTTCCTTCTTTCTTCCGCTTTGTGTTTTTCTTCCTCCCCTAAACTTGGGGCATCTTCACAGGAAGGGAAAAAGATAACATGATTTTTCTCTCAATCTACTTCTGTTCAACTCCACTTGTAGCAGCAGATCAAATCAGTAGCAGTTAACCAAAATATAGTACTCTCCTTAAAGTGTTACCTTCAAGTCTCCACCAAAGGCGCCTGTCAGTGAACCTACCACCCTAAGGGTAGCGCATTCAGGCCTGTTTCTCCAATAGGACTGCTAGGTCTAACCAAACTATCAGTGGGAGACCATTTTTAAAAATTCACTGGAAAATCCTTACGATGGATGGCAGTCTCCATCACCACCTAAAAATATCTCCTGAAAGTGTCTACCTTCTCCCTCTCTCTGGAAAACCCCTTGCTTCTTTTTCTCCATATTTTTGCCAATCTTCTCTTCCTCCTCTCTTGAAGAGCAAGTGGGGTGATTTTCCATTACTGGCCCTCTACCTGTGCTCTTGATCCTTGTCCCGCCTACTCTCTTTGAAACACTGCTCCATCAGCAACAACCAGCCCTTTCCTGCATGTTCAACTTTCCTCTCTCTAGGACCTGCCTGTTTCATCAGACATGATATCTAATACCATTTGCTCATCCTAAGCAATTCAGCAACGAAATAAAGGAAGTAGCAGAATACATCTGTTAACAGCATGGGCTCTGTAGCAGACTGCCTGGTATTTAATCTTGGCTCTGCCATTTACCAGCTGTGTGAGTCTGGGCAAGTTACGTAGACCCTCAGCTACAAAATGAAAATAATACCACCTATACTGCATAGGGTTGCTGGGAGGATCCAATGAGATAAAATATGTAAGAGCACTTATAACACTGCTGGCCCATATAATACTGATTAAGTATTATAATGTATTTTATTGCATTAATTAGAATTAATTTACTAGGGGCCGGCCCGGTGGCACACTGGATAAGTGCGCCGCTTGGGAAGCGCGGTGGCCCTCCCACCCGAGGGTTCAGATCCCACATACAGACCGGTTCCCGCTCACTGGCTGAGCGAGGCGCGGGGGCAACGCCGAGGGTTGCGATCCCGTTGCCGGTCCCCGGTCCGGTACAGGGGCAACACTGAGGGTTGCGATCCGTTGCCGGACATGGAAAAAGACAAAAAGACAAAAAAAAAAAAAAAAAAGAATTAATTTACTAGTATTTACTTGTTTTACAATATATTACGCATGATCTATTTATTAATATATATGCCACTGCACCAGTGCTGCCGCACAGGGCACTGCAGACTGAGCACTGCACACCCCCAGGGGACCACTCACATGGACAACAGAACTGTGCAGGGCGGTGGGCTTGTACCACATGTACTTCCTATCCTATCCTACTTTTTTGGTAAAGACTCATAAGCCATACTGTCTTTAAGATGTTTTAGAAATCCTGCCCTTCATCCCTTCCTCTACAGATGATTAGCTCTTCCTCAGCCTACAGAATCTTCCCTTTTTTCTTTGATGCTCTCCTTAAGCACAGGTAACCCAGTTTCTGCTGCCCTGAAACTTCTCCTTCCAAGGTTGGTCAGTGTCATCCTGAACAACCAAACTCAATGTCTGGTCTCAGTTCTCACCCTCCCTGATCTCTCTGAATTTGGTACTTGCCATCCTGAAGCATTCTCCTTGCCTGGGGAAGGTGACATTGAACTCTTCAGGTCTCCTGCCTCTGTGACCTGGTGTTTCTCTTTTACCATTCCTTCTCCCGCTTCCTCAGTGGGAGGTTTCCCTAAACTGCTTCACTCCTGCTCCCTCTCCCACCTCTAGGCTGAAACCCTCAGGCACTCCCAAGGCTACTACCTGCCCTTAATTATCTGGTGGTCCTGTCCCAATGGTAAACTCACTTAAGTGTACAACTAAATCCACCACATCCATTCCTTCCACAAACATTTCTTAAGTGTGATGCCTGGAACAGGGGATGCAGAAATGGAGAAGGCTGCCCCTGCCCTCACAGCACCCTACAAAATCAGCTTCTTTCCTTCACCAGGATTTCTATTCTGGACCCATCTTGGATTCAACACAGTCAAATCTATTTTCAGTTGATAAACACATACAACCTTTCACTCTTTCTGGAATTCTGTCCCTAACACAGCCAAGTTCCATGAATTCGACTTGTGTCTTTTCCTTCTCTTACACACGCACACCTGCCATCGTCCTAAACTGAGAATTTCTTTCTTCTTGAACTGCTAACTTGGCCTCCTTGTTGTATCTCTCAAAGCACGCAACAGATGAATATTCCTAATGTTCCAATCTCACTGAGGTTGAGCTCAAAAACGTTCAAGGGCTCTCTGCCACTCAACTACAAACAAAATGCTAAAAGGCCTATGTAACTCATACCAGCTTGAGCTACTCCTGGATCCCTGCGCTAGCAGGTTTTCCAGCCAAACTGCACAACCTGCAGTTGTCTTTGAAGGCACCTAACTCCTGTCCACCTCCCAAAACTCTGCCTAGGTCATTCAACATGCACCACGCTCTGCTTTATGAATCCCCTACCCATACTTCCAGGCACTGCTCAAATACTACCCCCTGCCCGAGGTCTTTCTTATATCCTTCCCCTCAACTGTATCAATACAATGTTTCTGCCCTTCTTATCACATATAGCACATGTTAATTTAAATCATAAATACTCAGGAACATGTCTTTCCAAAACACAGACCACAAGCCTCCTGTAGTCAGGTACTGGATAGAGTATATGCTTAAGTAAACTCCCTAGACCAAGCACAGGGCCCAACATATAGTAAGGCTCAGTAAGAACATGCAAAATGGGGCCGGCCCGGTGGCGCACTGCTACAGTGCGCCGCTTGGGAGCGCGGCGGCGCTCCCGCTGAGGGTTCGGATCCCACATACAGACCGGCCGCTGACTGGCTGAGCGAGGTGCGGGCGCAACGCCGAGGGTTGCGATCCCGTTGCCGGTCCCGGTCCGGTACGGGCGCGACACTGAGGGTTGCAATCCATTGCCGGTCACGAAAAAAGACATAAAAAGAAAAAAAAAAAAAGAACATGCAAAATGAATAAAAACTCTAACTTAAAGGCACTTAAAATTGGTTTCCAGAACAAAGGTTGATAGAAATTCAGAAGCCTTTTGTTATTTTTTAAAAATGGAAGAAACACTACAGAGAATCTACATTCATATTCAAAAATGTGGGAGAGGTCAGGGAAAGCAAGGATTTCTTCAGTAGGACTTGTATTCTCCTATATTGCTACACCTCCTATTTTGAGTATCTTATTATAAAGACAAGTAATAAGAATCATCAGAGGTCTCTCCATTACTTTATTCCCATTTTTTTATGTTTACAAAAAAGAAATGTTATTTTAAAAACACCCATTATTTTCTTTTATATAATAATCTATAAAAACACAGCCAAATGCTAGATTATTTAATTACCAGCAGCTTAACTGGCATCTGTTGGACTCACTAACAAAACTAGATATGTATAAGCTTTAAAAACATTAGGAAGAGTCACCTGGCGGCAGGGAAACCAATGTTCATAGTCACTGTGGAGGGAGAATTTCAGTTGAAATATGTGGGAACACTTCATAATCAAATGTTAGACTATGTGAAATGAAATCATTAATCATTTCCCAGCATCCACATACAAAATTCAATGAAGAAGAGAAAGAAAGCTACACTTTCTATTAAGTCATATTTTCTTCTGGATAGTGTCTATGAACAAAAATCCTCACAGATTCATTATGTCTACTGGTATTAGTACGGACAGTAATATTACCTACTGCCATTCATCCTAATAATCTGGATAAAACTGCTACAACTGGAACAGAAACTACCTTGCACAATTCATGATTTTTAAAGACATGCCTCCGTCTTACTACTACTCTATTTTGCTTAATTAATATAAATACAGTATAATGTATAAAGGTTTCTAACAATGTGGATTAAAAACATAAACAAAATCTTTTTGATTTTTATTTTATTCTGAAGCTAGTTCATATAATTAGGATCTGTACTTGTGGCTCTTGTTATATGCTGTTTTTTCTTTACTTTTATTTAATAAGCAAAACATGGAGAAACTACGTTTTAATGTCTGTGCTTGCTTTATACTTAATGGATCAAGATTTCGAACTGAAACCTCAACTAGCCATATCCTAAGTTAAAACACATGGCAGGAAATGAAGTTTTCCATAAAATAACATTTAGACTCTTCTACTGTTCAATAAAACAACAACACATTTGCCAGTTTTTACTAGTACACATTTTTAACGCTCTGTCAGAGTGAGC